AATTGCTAATTTATTATCTAATAGAATAAAATGTTTGATATTAAATAAGAAAACACAATACATATTAAAATTTGCAGTTGCAAATACCAAAACTAATTCTTATATATGTAATAAACTATAAGTAATTCAACTTACAAAAGTGTTTGTTTATTTGTAAAAGGCAAAATATAATCAGTACTATATTATGGCTCTTATGCTTATACTTAATGACTACTTAGACTATTTAATAACAATGCTTCTATTTCTGTTTTATATTGACTTTATATATATTAGTGTTATATTTAACTAGTAATAATTTTTTATAAAAGTAGTTCAAGCTAAAGAAAATAAATTGCAATATGGCTTTATTTGTATTAGTAGTACTGCTTATTATATACAAATATTTTTAGTATATAGTTATAGATTTTTACTTACAAAAAATTAAATAGACATAAGTTTTATAAAGCATTTATAATAAGTATTGAAAAAAAATAAATATCAGGTGAATTTGTCTTTCTGAAATTGCATTTTATATAAAGTCAACTTTTATACTTAAAGCCTCAAATGTTACTTCATGTCAAATAAAACTTATTAATAAAAGATCATTGTTATCTAAAATTTTTTCTAAAATATTATTTAGATTCCAGAATATTAAAATAAAGCAATATTACCTTATATAGTTAGTCTAATCATATTATTTTTGAATACAAAAACTCATTAAGCTTTATTATTATTTTTTTGATATTAAGATGACTTTTTTGGCTATATTTTATTATATCAAGCTATATATACACTTTTGGTATCTAATTTAAATAGTCTTTCAAAGTGTTAGTGCTATGCTAAAAGTTCTACATTATCTGCTATACCTGTATTCAACTATAGATGTATTCATTTAAATTTTTCAATTGTATTCTTAATTCCACCATGTAAGACTTCTATCTCTTGCTATTTTCATAGCTCTGTTAGATTTTGAATTTGCCTTATAATAGAACTGATAGTTCTTATTTATCTTTGAGATAAACCTGCTAGAGTGTTTTTGCCTACTTGGGGTATACATCTAGACTTCAGTAACTTATGCCATAGCTTAATCTATATATTTGAGTTAGGGCTAACTATTGAACTTTTACTATTACCTACTTTACTCTTGTAAGGTTTGATATTTTATTCTATTACTTTCTGCATTATACTCTTTTGGTATTATTAGTCTTCCAACACAAGATGATCTAGAAAGATTAGTTTGCCCAAATCAGAGTTTTTCAGGCTCAAGTCTGAAGATCTCCTGATACCTGGTTTATATTTTTATAGCATGTGACTTTTTCTTCTAGAATCTTATTCTGGAATCTTCTACTAGTTATCTTTTAAAAAAGTACAACTAGCATAGCTTTAGTAACCCCAGCAGCTTGGTTAATAGATCCTTTTACCTAAAGATTTTTGTTACCCAAGTTCTCCAAATTTTCTAGTCTGGCCTATTCTTTTTTGTAATACTGTCAAGAGTCAGCTACTTCTTATTCAAAATTTGCCAAGCCAGTTTTAGATTTTTGACATTTTCTATATAGATCTTTAATATAGATCAATTCTGGAAGCCTTATCATGGGTTTGTACTGCCTTATACCAGTTTGTATTTCTTTATACAACAATACAAATACTTCCATGTCTTCTAGCACACATAGTATTGGTATGCCAAAGTTACAAAGTACTGTAACATAATCACTACAGTATTACTAAGTCCCAACTAATTATGCAATAGAGATCTGTTACTATAATATAGTATTTTATTCAAACTATTACTAGTAAGATTTAAACTCAGTACCATAATTACAAGCTAACTTTGGGGTGTGACAACTTTACCACTATGCTATATTGCTACACTTTCTATTAGACTTTATTTTATATTATAATTGTATCACATTCTATTAGTAAAATAATATCATTTTGAAGGGGTTAGGGTTTTGTAGCCTAGTGGTCTGGGTGTCTAACCCTTCACAGATGAGGTTGATAGTTTGATTATAGCTGGTGGTAATTAATTTAATTAATTATTTCTATAACCTTCAAGAGCTTTTGAATGCGAAACCCTGTAGTAGTAAGACCATGTGATGTATATATTTAGCTGATAAAGAATTCTTAGAAGAAGACCCAAGTTGTGAAGAAGATGGGCACTACATGTGACATGGGTTATAAATAGTAATACTGCAGAAGACTATGTGTATAAATCTCGAAGAGTGGCTCTTAAGTAGCATCAATATCTAGTAACAGACTTGATTAGAAGAATAACATGAAGTGGTATATTTAGAAGTAGTAAGAGAAGCAGTAAACACAGTAAGAGGCTGTGGTAAAAAAATGGCTTTACCAAATATAGAACACCTCTGGCACAAAAAAGCAAGAAGAACTAGCTAAAAGAAACCCTGAAAAGTATAGAAGCAAATGCTCTAGTAGTATAAAATAAAGATAGCCAGTGAGTAATGTGTTGCACAACCTATATGAAAGTCTATAACAAAATATAACAGAAGCACAGGTTCTAGGTTACTAGCTTGTGATAGTAATTAAATAAGGTACTTAATTCCTGTTTTAAAGATCTAGACTTCTGTAACATCATATTAATAAAAAGTATATAAAAGAAGCAGTAGCCTAATTTGGTGATATACAATGCGAATACCTGAATTGATATGAAATAACACTTTAGTACAGCAACAGGTGACTTGAGATACGAGTTCTATGACTATGGCAGCACATGGATTAGGTCTTTAAAGTAACTTACTTCTCTAGAGACACCAAACTGAAAGTACAAAGAGTGCTTACTCGAGAGAACCAATTTGAAAGTAATACAAGAAATGAATTAGAAATAATATAATAAGTGATAAGAGGCAGAAGTTGGTTAGTGGATATTGTATAGTAGTATATAAGCAGAATATATATGATATAATAGGTTTGGGAACTATCTGGTGATTTAGAAACCAGTCGAATTGCAGGATAGTTTATAAGGAGGTAAAATCTCATATAGCAAGTCACACATAGGTATTTAAATTAGTAACTGGGTAAGCTAATATGTGTAATATACATTAGATAGTTGTAACTGTACTTATGATATTTGTAACCAAAAATACTCTAGTATAAATCTAATAAACAGTATTGGCAAGATTGCCAAATTTTTTAAAAAAAATTATTATTTTGGAACATTATATTAATTAAGAATAATTTAAAACATTTAGAGTTATTATAACCAAGCCTGCCAAGCAAACTAATATATCTATGAAAGTATCTTTATACAAGAAATAGCAAAGAAACAAACTAACAAATATCTATAAAACAGCCTGTATATAGCTACTAGACCAATAACTGTTTTAATATTTAGCTAAAACATAAATACAAACAAATAATATCAATTATAGTGGAGAATAAAGTTATAGCAAAAGCAAACAACTATGCCATTCTCAAGATCAAATATGATCTATCTTCAAGAAATATCTTGTTAAATTTATTATCCGCATGTATAAAAATTGCCACACTAAACAACACACAATAATCTATTCTAGCTAGAATAAAACATGCAATAAGAAGAGTTGCAAATAGTACAAAACATAATTCTAATAGTAGCTAACCCAACTTTTATAATATCTGTAACTCCTATAATTTGCTAATTTGAAAGCCATTAGAATCATCAACAAAACCATGTTTACAAACTTGTAAATCAAAGCAAATATCACAAAAGAATACCTCAGACTATAAAAGCAACCCAAATCCTAGTGAACCAGGTGATAAACCTTCTAGGCAATAGCATTAATAGCCTAATTTACTTGGGTGACCTGCATTCTATAATACAAGAAAACAGAGACAAAGTGTTTGTCCTCCAGGCCTATTAAAACAAAAAAAAAATAAACAACCACATAATACAAGCAGTACAAAAAAAAA